TTAACACCTTGATCGTTATCAATTACGTAACTCCTAATCCACTTTTCGATAATTTAAACTCTTGATCATTTTTCGATCATTTAACCCGAGATCGTATTTCGATCACTTAACGCTTTGATCAATTTTATTACTTAACGACTTGCCAACTTTTCACTTACCCCTTTTCCTCAATTTTCAGTCACTTAATCATTCGATCATTTAACACCGAGCTCATCTTTTGATCACTTAACACCATCTTCCGTTTCGATCATTTAACCCCTTTGCTCAATTTCGATCACTTAAACGGTTGCTCACTTTTTGATCACTTAACTCTCTGCTCATCTTTTGATCACTTAACGCCTTGATCACTTTTCGATCACTTAAACCCTTTGCTCAATTTCGATCACTTAAACGGTTGCTCATCTTTTGATCACTTAACTCTCTGCTCATCTTTTTATCGCTTAACGCCTTGATACCTTTTCGATCACTTAACACCTTTGCTCATTTTCGACCACTTAACACTTTGACAACATTTCGATCACTTAACCCTTTGATCACTTTTCGATCAATTAACGCCTTGCTAAGTTTTCGATTATTTAACCCCTTCATCAATTTTCGATGATTTAATCCCTTGATCAATTTTGATCACTTAACCCCGTATGCTAACTCTTCTATCACTTAACCCTTGTTCTCTTTCTGTATAAAAAAAAACATCCATAGTTATACCTAAACATTTTCAAATTTTGTGTTGCATCGTCTGTATCTAATTTATTTACACGCGAACTAATGCCTCCATCTTTGCTGTTAACATCATAACGTTACGGTCATGTAACCTTCAATAAATTTCAAACTGAACCTTTTATTTAATCTACAAGAGTAGATCGTTTTCGTTCCGCTATCCATGTTGTCTATTGATAGATCGTCTTTTTCATCAGTTCTTTCATCAGTATTACTCTCTCCGTAGATTGAACACTATGTCACCAAACTCACGAACAAACGCTTTTATTCATTAGTCTATTGAAGAAGGCTAGAGAACGCAACGGCTTAAACGTTGTGATAATAGCAACAAAGATTATATTAATCCTAATGTAAATAATGATAACTTCTCATCCAAGAGATTCAGACAGAAATTTGCCGTCATCTGTTACTATATAACTCCGATATTAGCATCGGCTTGATTTTGCCATCCCCAATATGTAACTCACATCTTGGGATGTCTGCTCCTTTTGCTCATAATATGTCTTCATTCTTGCAGCTAATAATCATTTCTTCTTACTATTTTAATACTTCTTCTCTTAATACATGTTGCAGAATTCTTCGATTTTTCCTGTTGCTCTTTAGTTTTGTGATTTTCTTCAGAATTGTCTCCGATGAAGACTGAAGGAAAAATTAGAAAAGAGAAACGTTTTGCCCGCAAGCACAAATGGTTTCTCATATTTTGCGCTCGTCACACGAAAATCAAAGCTGATTTTGTGGTAAAGAAAGCGGATTGAACGCGTGAGCCGAATGGAAAGTTGCGCTCGCAGCAGAGTTGCTTCCCTTGCTTGTTTTCCATCCGTTCTTTGTCAGCTTTGCTCGACTTAAATTCTTTAAAGTGGCACCTGCTACTGTACAACACTAAACCGTTTCTTTGTGTCAAAAACCATTCGCTACAAAATTATTTCAAGTTAATCCGAATTCTTCATAAATGTATAAGGATTAACTTTTTTCTTCGAATAATTCAATTCTCGATTTTACACTAAATCAGATCTATATTTTTTTAATACAAATCAATATTTGTACAATAAAATTTGTGTCAACCCATCTTTTTATATAGTCCCAGATGTTCAAATAATGGGATTTTGTATAGGCATTCCGTGTTCAAATTCTGGTCATGGTCCTTGTCTTCCCTTTCTAATAGATGCTCTTTAGATGTGGCACAAGGCCGAAAGTATGGGGCACCTAGTGAGGATCGCACTCACTACTCAGTCGTAATTGATCTAGCAAGACAAGCTTTCTAACCATTACACCTCACCGAGGTGCCCAGTTTATATTTATATATATGTGTGTATTTGTATACAAACGCTTGCTCGTACATTTAACTATATCCATTTGATTTATATATATATATATATATATATATATATATATATATATATATATATATATATATAAAGACCAAAGGGAAACTTATCTTAAGCCGACGTTTTGTCATTTGAGGAGCTTTATCAACGCAAATACAAGGATTTTATTTTGTAACGAGTATTTATATACATGGGCAAAAATGTTATTAAGGTATCAAAATTTTAAAATTTATCAACACTCATAAATATTCATCAAGCTAGCTTAAATGTCCGTCAGGCAATTGAGGACAGGAAGTGATAGGATCCAATGTTTAATAAACGAATATGAGTAGGTGATGTTTTAGAAAAAAAAATTATGCAATTTAATACTTAAATTATTTTAGTTTCGGTTTAATTTATGTGTTATATATTTTGAATAACATGAGGTTATGGGTTTAATTGTTTTCTTTTAATTTCGTTAACATTTTAACTGTCATGTAACTTGGCTTGAGAAAGTGTTAATTATTTCAAGAATGAAAATATTATACTTTGTAAAATTCAATAGTGGCAGTCTCGAGAATTTTTCTTCAAAATAAGTTACTTTTTTATTTTGATAAATGTGCCATTCTTTAGATCAAAGTTGTGACCGAATTTATAACTAATGCACTTGACATTTTATTTGTTCCACTATTTTCCTCAGTTACCTTCGCCCAGTCTGTGGTATGCGAGCATCCGAAAGGTGTGCCATACATTTCATCTACTGTATGACAGAGACTGCCTCAAATCATCTCAGATGTGGGTGTTTACATGTCCAACATTCTCGTTCCCACGATTGTAATACCGGATGAGAGTGTGCGCTCATGTACTTCCGCTTTTGATAGCAATGAGTAAACCACATTGACGGCTCCACCACGCTTCCTTTGACGGTCTGGTGTGACATTTGGGAACAAAGTCTATTAACACACAAACGCGCAAGAGCGCGAACACGCACACAGACACACACAAACACATAACTAAACACACGCACACATACACGTATATATATATATATGTGTGTGTGTGTGTGTGTGTGTGTGTGTGTGTGTGTGCGTGCGTTATATAATTTACTCACGCACGCATGGACTATCTCAGCTATAAACAGGAGCAGGTACTGCCTTTTGGAGAAGGAAGTTTCCAGCAGTCAGCTCTGACAGTCGGACCGAACATTCTTGCTGTAACACTCTCGTTTGTATATGTTTGCATTACTGTTTCTGTTAATATATTTCTTTAACTCACTTTCTCCCTATGTGTCTTCATTTCTGACCCTAACAAGGCCACAACAATATATATAAGCCAATAAATAAAATATAAATAATGTAGGTGTTTACTTATATATATATATATATATATATATATATATATATATATATATATATATATATATATATATATTGGTGTAAATAAAACAATGCTCAGTGCAATATAACAGAGCTATTAATCATATATTAATAAATATACATAATACCCGATGCCGACAGTACAACTCGGAGATTCATGCACTAGTCAATCATCAGGTATAAATGAACTGGCAATTTATTACTATTATAAAATATTTAAATCTAAATTTAAATTTAGGTTCAAATTAGCACTTATAATTAAAATTAAAAATTAATAATTCGAATTTCAATTTAAAATGAGAAAGCGGAGATCGCTGGTGATTAGAAAGGGTTCATACTATGTATCAAGAGGGATAACTCTTTTTTTTTGCTTGGATAAAACATTTAAAAAGTGATATCGATAATATAAACAACAATAGGACACAGTAATAATAGTAATGAAACGATAACAACTGGTAATATAAATATTTCTAATAAAAAAATAATAGCAGTAACAATATTAATAATATAAAGTAAAGACTATTAATAATAATAATAATAATAATAATAATAATAATAATAATAAAGAATTAGTAATAATAATAATAATAGGTGGTAGTATTAATAATAGTATATATAGATTATACGCATTTAGTGATTTTAATGCATTTAATGATTTTAATGTATTTAATGATTTTAATATATTTAATGATTTTAATGATTTGATAAATTTAACGATTTTAATACATTTAATGATTTTAATGCATTTAATGATTTTAATGCATTTAATGTTTTTAATGCATTTAATGATTTTTATGATTTTAATGAATTTAATGATTTTAATATAACTGAATGTCTGGTAGCAATATTGAATGCACTTCAGCAAAAGTTAACTTATCTGACGAATAATTAAAGAAAATTATCACTTTTTACCATCTTTCGCTCAATTTTCCCTAACTTTTTGCTCTCTTTTCTTCGATTTACCCACACTCTTTTCTCTTTTTCCTTTGCTTTTTACACTCTTTTCTACTATTCACTCCATTCTTCTCTCTTTTCCTCCATTCTCCGTTCTCTCTTTGTTCTCTTCTTCCATTCCCCCCATTCTCTTTGATCTCTCTTCCTCCATTTACCCGCTCCTATTGTTCCATTTTCCCATTGTCTTTATCAATTCTCACCACTTTCTTGGCTTTCTTTCTCCCACTCTCCATTTCTTTTCCCCATTTTTCCCATTCTCTTCGCCTTTATTTTTTCATTTTGTCCACTTATTTAGACTCTCTTTTCTCCATTTATTCCGATGATATTTGACCTCATTCTGTTATTTTAAGAGCAAATCATCATATATATATATATATATATATATATATATATATATATATATATATATATCAAATGCTACAGATGAATAGAGAATAAAATTCATGAATCGGCAGTTTATGTTGATTACTTGGAGGCGTGTAATCAATAATTCCTATACATAAATGCTTCCTTTCTTTCTCTCTGATGAATGAACATGATTATAACACCCGAAGAGAGAAACCCCTCCATCTTCTTTTCCTCGGATGTCTCTGACATCGTTCTTTTGACGACAGCTTGTGCTCTCAATTCTATCCGGATTTCGATGGGCTTACGGCCATATCACTTTGAGACACAGATTCTCGTACGATCGCCGAAGTTAAGCAACGTCTAGCCTCGTCAGTACCTAAATAGGTGACCGCTTGGAAATACTAAGTGCTGTAAGCTTGGATGTGCGGGCGGTGTAATGAATAACATTTCAGAATTGGACATCGGAGAGCCGCGTTCCAATTCCAGTCGGATTCGTTATATTCACTTATGGGCAAATACCCTTCGGAAAGGTATGAATTCGCTTCCTCTCACCTCTAGATATGAGTTAATTAGTAGAAATTGTACCTGTAAAATCATTGTCCTCCAAAAATTCTCATAATCTAAAAATATTTTCTGGCTATTTAAACCTGTAAAAAGTTGGTAACCTATAAAAAAAAATCAATCAACCAACTTTTGATAGAATTGAATAAAAGTGGACCCTCTTGTCCATTTTATAGAATATTTGAGAATCAAAGCTGGGAATCTTAGTCTGCACAACTACTTCCTTATGGCTTTAGAAAATCTTTTTTTTCTTTGATGTTAGATCGCATTAATTTTTATCCCTTAAAATCTGGAATTTCCTAAAAGCTTAAGGAAATGCCAATTTTGTTCTACATGTTTAAAATCGCAGTATTTTGGATGCATCCCCCACAATCTCCCACTTCCTTAAGTCTTAAAAGAATGTCTATTTTGTTTCTTAGACACTGGATCGAATCAATTTTGATGTGTCCCGAAAAGGGATATATTTGTTCAAAGTAGCAAAGTAGTTTTGGACTACTGTAACCGAGTAGGACAATCTAGCAGGTAACCGTAATGGACTGGTCCTCGTCGTAGTGGTAGGCTATAGGTGAAGACAATAGGCGTAGGCAATAGGCGAAGACAATAGACGTAGTCCTTGTACCTCCACATCAGTCTGTATTCATGGCTGACACCAGCCAATCATATTACTGTGAGGGGGAACCAAGGTGTATGCAAATTCATTACATCAGAATTTTGAATATATGCGTTACAAATTGCCGCATCCATACGGCCTGAAAAAGCATAATGCATAAAAAAAACAAGTCGAAACTGCACAAAACCTTAGCTAATTGCACGTGAAATGAGTCACAACATACAGAAGGAGCAAATTTAGACGCATTTTCCCAAGTTTTTAATCTCTAACGGCCGATGCAGTGCGTGACTTTATGAAGAGTGAGACATTTGATGAGCATAAATCTGATTATCTATAATTTAAATTACAGTGCGTTTCAACAACACATTTAAATCAATAAAAGGATAATAATTCTGGTGACAGAACCTTTTTTGTACTAATGTACCAACTGAAAGTAATTTTTTTAGATTTTAAACACCACTCGTATTGAACGGTTGTACTCTCAAAAAGGCACCTTTTACTGAACCTCAGTCCTGAGTATGACGATAAACTACATCCGGCAACAAGTTTTTTGTGGAGCATGAAACCACCTCTTAATAGCTGTTGTTCCCAGGTCCGCCTTGATCCAGGGTAGTAGCAACTGTTAGCGTCCCATTTACGGGCAAATAGTGAACACGCAAAGAAAATTAAAACACTATGAAAGTATAAAAATACATTTTTTATAGTAAAAATACCAGTAATATATATTTATATTGTAAAATTACCAACAATACCTGTTTATCGTAAAATTACCAACAATAAAGTTTATCTGTAATTGAAGGCATATAATTGTGTTCAAAATAGTTAGATTTTGGTATTAAATAACCCATAGCTGTTGAGATGCCACTAAACAAAATGAACCAAACATCATTGAATCTCTATTAGGCATCAAGTTCACATCTGAACGCAAGTGGAACACATGTATCCGACCTATTACTAAAGATGCTGGTAAAAATTACCCATCTAGGTACTGACTATGCTCCAGAAAGAATCTGATATCTCCTGCCATGCTCTATCTTTACAAAAACCAGGTCAGGCAAAAAATAGGGGGAGAATAATTATTTTTAACCCGATAGCCACCTACCCCCATTTTCCTGTAAACGAAACGTCACATACCTCTCGCTGCTACCAATCAGTGGCAAAGGTTCAGAAGAGCTACATTCCTTAGTTCCATCAGTTCAGACCTTTACAGCTAAGACCCTTACATATTATTGAATCATCCTCATTTCATTCATAAGAAGGAAGTTCCAATCAGGCAGCTTTTCCCAATAACCACTACGCGGATAAACGCTTGATATGATGCTTCCCTGATCAGTAGAGTCTTAACCTCGAACGTCAACCGATATTTATCTACATATTCTCATAATATGATCTTGTTTTCCACTCTTATGTCCAATCTACTTTGAGTGGTTCTTGCGCCTTTTATTGGGTGGACATTTAGTAAAAATGGCAAAGACAACTGGAAAATTACTACCAAAATTAAACTTATATTTGGCACAATTAGGGTTGTTAACGTATTGCATAATTTTCTTTACGTTTTTGATAAGGTATGTAGGGGGTTGCTGGTGCCCGTCTTGAGTCATTACTAGTCCTCCTGTCTCGCAATTGAGCAGTAGGTCACTCGCAAGTTCTTGTTTTGCCCGCCAGCAGTGCCCTGCAAATCGCATTCTGCGTCGCGTAAGATTACAGAAATATCAGGGATGATACCATAAAGCTGTGATTTAGCTGAATGATGCCTCAAAGAGATGTTAAGCACTACGCGCTGAGTCCGACTTTACGTTCCATCTAGGGCTTTAGTTAATATCCAAGCAGCGGCACCATACATCAATCTCCGCTTGAGTTTGTCTAGTAGATCAGATTTCCAGATAACATCCATTTTATTCAAGGCGGTCCAGACTTTAGCTATGCTGATTTTCACATTTTTTTCCAGTAGAATTTATTTCGCTTCCTAGGCATGAAGAAAAATACACCCAAAATAGGAAAAAAACAGCGGAAGTTGATAACATTCCCCCGGAAGTTTGGAAAATCCAGAATTTCAATGATATTCTACTTCCATCCCGTGTCGCGACATATAACCCCAAAGAAACTAGGAAAATCTATTTTAACTACAAAATTAACCATTACAGTGTCATCACAGTTCAGCATACGATTCGTGTTTATACGGAATATCAGAAAACCTAAATATTTTTGATGTTAAGAAAGTCAGTTCATTATATCGGCAGGAACAATTTTCCTCTCCAGAATCTCTCATACATATCTATAAATCTAGCATTCGTCCATGTTTAGAATATTGCTGCCACATATGGTCCTGTTGTCCCTGTTATTTACCTTGAGCGCCTTGATAAAATCCAAAGAAGAATCAGCAATATTATTGGTCCTAATCTGGCAACTCAGCTCCAGTCAAATTTCCACCACCGTAAGGTTGTCTCTCTATGTCTTTTCTAGAAATAATTTCATGGTAATTATTCTGCTGAGCTCTTCGCTCTGGTACTTACTGCTTTTGAATTTAAGCGCAGCACCAGACTGGCGTCGAGATCTCATCAATTTACAGTTGTGCTGGTAAGATGTAGCCGTAAATTTTATGCTAACAGTTTCTTCCCTCGCACTTCTTGCATGTGGAACTTATTTCCGGCTCCATGCTTTCCGGCTCCATGCTTTCCGGCCAACTTTAATCTGCAATAATTTAAAGGCAATGCCAATCGCTATCTCCTGCCCACGTGATTACTCTCTTCTCTTTCTGCTCATCATTACTGTTTCTGTTCTTAATTCTTAATGTGTTTTAGTGAAATTACTTCCTTTCATGGGGTGATATCGATTAAAAACTGTTCAAAAATTTAAATACTAGATGACTAGCTAACGATCGGCCGACCTGATCGGCTCTCTCTATCTCGTTGCAACTGCCTCTTTTCTTAAATCCGTATACTTTCATTGCCATTTCTTGCCATACACCAGCTGTGTGGACATTGTTCCGAGCAAACTCTATGCCATAATCTAATATATTCGGCTATTGTGTGCACCGAATGTCAACTTGCGTTTAGTAACGATACCACCTGACATCTGTGTGTTTTACGAAAACTCCGGATGCAAAAACATCACCAAAAAAAAAGCATTCTTTTGTTTTCTTTTTTACTTTCAGGAGACGAAGATGGTTGATTTAGCTAGAATTAGGGGATATTTATTTGTTTCTGCAACAAAGACAAAATGCTACATAATGTCGTTGATTTGAATCTGTTGCCCTCCATACAGAACACGTCATTGAATTGTTTCTTTAACGAACGCCTTACTACTGTCCTCCTGGTTACTCTCTTCTTTTTCTGCTCATCATTATTGCTTCTGTTCCTAATTCTTATACACTCTATAACCCCTTGTGTATTAGCGGCATTACTGTCTTGCTTGGGGTGGTATCAATTAAAAAAAATGTAAAATACTTGATTCCCTGTTTTTACTGCCGATATAAGGGTGGAACTCATTGTCTAATGGGGAGGTGGTATCCATTTGCTACTACGGAATGATAAGACAAGTCGTTTATTAAGTTTGAGAAGCGTTAGAACTCAATTGAAACATATCATGAAACTGGGTCTCTTAAAAACACTTTTTTAACCTTTGTCTTGACCATTTCTAATACATCGGGGAGATAATGTCTGCGATATATCTATAACAAATCTAACATCGATGACAACTAATGTGAGAATAACTGTTTAAAATAATCAGAAACCAAGGAGTTTGTAAAATCCGTGTGCACTTTTAAATATCCATAGCATTGTAGCTATGCATGATAGAAATAATCAGGAAAAAATAAGTTAAAAAAATAATCTTTAAAATTTTATTGCTACGGATGTCATATTTTTCACTTACACTTGGCCTGCCAGACCGTGGATTTTCATTGACATAAATTGCTTCTTGAAAATGCTTCTGTTCCTAATTCTTCCACACCTTATAACCAGTTTTGTTTTAATGGCATTACTGCCTTGCTTAGGGCGATACCGATTTAAAAAAAATATGGCGTTTCATTTAGGCTGGAATATAATATGGTTGTTTTAAACGTTAGATTTTGCAAGCTGGAGGCATCGTTGAAGAATCAATTTGAATTACTGAGAGGATAAAAAAAATTAAAGAAACTAAGCAAGCATAACAATATTTTTTAATCGTTTCACCCCAAGTAAAGAGATAATTCCACTAGAACACATACAGTTACAGGGAGTGAAAGTGAAAGAGAACAAAAATAC